CCAGCACTCGGGAGGCAGAGGCAGGCGGATCTCTGTGAGTTCGAGGCCAGCCTGGTCTCCAGAGCGAGTGCCAGGACAGCCTCCAAAGCTACACAGAGAAACCCTGTCTCTTGAAAAAAAAAAAAAATCCCATTGGCCATGTAACGTGTCATATTCTCAGCTTCTAGAGATTTAGGATATAGACATCGGGAGGCATTATTCTGCCTACCATGCCAAACATGTTTATGCATTTTATAGACCAAGAATATCAAGGTTCTGTTGTAAGGAACATAATCTATTCTGGGCTAGGCAGAGAATTTGTTCCAGAGGCCTTGGAACTGTTGGCTGACTAATTAACTAAACTCAGCTAAGCCTCCCACAGTTATTTCCAAAGAATGCAGTGCAGGACTAGGTGACCAGAGAGTTGACTCTTGTGCTAAAATCTCTGGAATCTTGAACTTGTGAGGCAAGCAACTGTGTGCAGCAGCCACATCACCTCCACTCCTCTCAAAATGGTACCTCCGGCAGGGGGATGGGATGAGTAGTCTCTGAGCTGAATCAGGAGGACAACACAGGGAGACCCTGTCTCCAAGCAAAACAAAGCAACGCTGTTGAACCATGTGACCCCCGTTGGCACCCACACCAATACAACTAATGCCATCTGTCCTGACCGTCCTCTTTTAGCTGAGTTTCAAAAGCAAGTGTGAATCAAATGCATCCAAGTAGAGAAAACTAAATCGCATCAGGAATTTGGATGTTTTGGGTTGTGGCAATGTGTTTTCTGTGTAGCTCTAACTGTCCTGGAACTCTGTCACTCTGTAGATGAGGCTGGCCTTGAACTCGGAAATCTGCCTCCTCTACATTCCAGGAATGTGGATTCTAGTATTGTCTTGGGTTTGTATTTTTAGCTTGCGTGCCTCTGGAAATGCAGAAGACAGTAGGGACAGATGCTAAACACAGTAAACAAGATACCTGCTAGGAAGTAGGTGCTTGGGACTCTTGCTATATACGGCATCTTCGTGGAGGAAAATCTAAGATACCAGCACAGTGGACATAGCCAAAGAGAACTGAGGGTGGGTAGAGAAATATTTTATTTTCACTGTGTAGCCTTTCATCTATAACTACTGGAATCTGCAACCTTACCCATGGATTGATTATTCAAAACAAGAACATTTTTAAATAGTAGAGGGTAAAACAAAATCAAATAAACTAAAATAAAAAGATCTGACCTTTTTTTAGCTTTTTGTATTATTATTTTTAATAAAAATAAGGCAGTGCTTTGTATTTAAATTAAACATACTGAACAACAGCAGGGGTACCGAGTATGCTCAGGACTTGGGAGGTGAATGCCATGGGTCTCCCAGATGGACATCATCACTGTAAACACCAGAAGGATATACTCAGAACTGGACAAATCACAATGGGTGTGTTCCAGTGACGAGTTTGCCAAGGATCTGTCCAGGTCTATTATAGCTACTGAGCAAATGGATTGGCATGGATAGTTATGTCCTTGATGTGTACATCATTAAGAGTACTGGTCTTCTCTTTTACTGGTAACTTCTCCAATTCATCCAATATCTCCAGACCATCTATTTCCTTTCTAAATACTGTGTGTTTCATGTCCCGAGGTGGCTGTTTGCCATAGGTGATGAGGAACTGAGATCCATTGGTATTAGTATTATTAGCCATAGATACAACACCTCTAACGTTGTGCTTCAGATAGTCACTATATTCATCCTCAAACTTTTTTCCCCAGATACTGCTGCCTCCCCTTCCAGTACCTTGGTGGGTCTCCCATTTGAATCATGAAGCTCTTGATGTTCCTATGAAATACACAGCCATTGTAGTAATTACTGGCACAAAGAGCCAAGAAATTCTCACATGTTTTGGGTGTCTATTTTGATACCTCCCACATCTGTGTGCAATGTCACAGACACCCTCCTGCTTAATGGTTCCAGGAAGCCTTGCAGAGAAAAACTGATGAGTTTCTAATCCTCTAGGCCCCCCATCTGTCAGCAAGAGGGCTCTCCAGACAACCACACTAAGAAACAACCAGCTGCTGTCCCTGCAAACTCAGACCTGTGTATTTTCAGTATTGTTTGTACATGATGCTTGTGTGTTTCACCTTTGTTTACTTGTTTTTATTGTGATTTTCTTTGTTTTGTTTATTTTGAGACAGGGTTTCTCTGCGTACTGTTGCCTGCCCTGGAACTAGAGATCTGTCTCCCGAGTGCTGGTACTAAAGGCATGCACCACGACTGCCTGGGTTGTTTTGTTTTGCTTTACATACAGGATTTCACTATGTGGCTCTGACTTGTCTGGAGCTCACTACATAGACCAGGCTAGCCTCAAACTCTTAAAGAACCACCTGCATCTGCCTCTCCAGTGCTAGGATTAAAGCTGTACACTGGCACCCTCAACTTTTTATTTTCTTTTAAAACATTCCATTTATTTGTTTACATTGTGTAAGTTTATCGGTTTTTGAACCACAATGTCTGTGTGGTGGTCAAAGGAAAATCCGTGAGCACCAGCTCTCTCCTTCTACGTTGTGGGTCTGGGCAACCAAACTAGGGCTATCAGGTATCAAGCAGCAGCCCTTACCCATGGAGACATCTCACTGGCCTGGTATTTATTCTCTTCCTCTTGAACTTTATTCTGGTTTATTGCTTCTTTCCTCATATTTTAGCATGACTGGGTAACTAACATACACTCAAAAGGGTGACTTATCTAACAAGCCTACACTACCAATTATCCCTCTTTTAGCTAAGGCAAGAACCACAATTTCAGGGCTGAAAATTGCAAGGTTGAAAGAATGAAACCAACATTGGAATGGATGGACCTATAGGGCAGTCTTATATAATCAATTTTATTAAACTATGAAAAAAAAACATTGAGTAGTAAGTTATGTGCAATGCTGAACCAAAGAGCCTGAGAAATAGGAATAAAATGGGAAAATTCAGAGGAGGTACTATTTTGACTAGGGAAAATAATGAGTTGATTTATTCAAAAACAAGGTTGCTATTTGGAGATTGTCTCAGTTAGGTTTCTATTGCTGTGATAAACACAAATGACCAAAAGCGGCTTGGGAAACAGAGAGTTTATTTCACCTTACAGCTTACATCCTTCATGAATGGAAGTCAGAGCAGAACCCGGAGGCAGGAATTGAAGCAGAGGCCATGGAGATACTCTGATTACTACCTTGCTCCCATGGCTTGCTCAGCCTGATTTCAATACAATGTAAGAGCACCAGCCCAGAGCTGGCATTGTCCCCAGTAAGTTGGGCTCTCCCACACCAATCATTAATCAAGAAAATGCCTTACAGACTTGTCTATGGGTCTATAAGGCAGGGAGGCATTTTCTTAACTGAAGTTCCCTCTTCCCATAGAATATGTCTATGTTGTGTCTTGCTGACAAAAACCAACCAGGACAGAAATTATTTTTTTTTTTGGAGACGGGGTCTCATATTGCCCAGGCTGGTATCAAACTCTATATTGCTGTGGATGATTTTGAACTCCTGATTCTCCTTTCCCCACCTCATCAAATGTTGGGATTACAGGCATGGGTCAACCCATTCTGAAGACAGTCCCTTAAATAGAAATAGAAAAATCAGTTAAGGGACCCAAATTTTTTTTTATGTTAACTTATTTTAATTATCATTATACAATGTGTATACTTACCAAATCATCACATTATAACTGATGAGTAAAAATATACATATGTTAAGTAATATATATATTTGTGTGTGTTAAGTAAAAAAGAATAAGAGGAATCATAACTTGTTTACATTTAAAAATAAATTAATAAGTTCATTTTTGGATGAAACTTCTAATGTTTAGCATTGTTTTGTTTTTGTTTGTTTTATTTTATTTTATTTTTATTATTAATTCAAGTTAGGGAACAGGCTTGTTTCACGGGGCTCCACCAAGTCCACCAAATCTTCCTGTGCTGGGCCTGGGACCCTCCCCATGTGTTCAGAGACAGAGTGCATCCCTTCAAGTGGGATGGGCTCTCGAAGTCCCCCACATACGCCAGGGCAAAAAGCCAGTCCACCTCCGGAGGCTCCTAGGAGTGCAGGGGCCTCCTAAGGGACCCAAATTTAAAGCGAGGTCAGGAAAATAGTAGCATTGGGCACAGAAACCACAGACACCTGTAAACCTTTGTTAGACAGCTGGGCAGCCTTGACCATGAATCAACACACATTCTGATGTCTTTCATCTGAAGTGAGTGGAAATGGCAGTCTGGGGCTTTTTCATCTACAGTGTGCTGGAAATGTCACTTCCATTGCAGTTCCTTATAAGCATGTGTCACTGTATGGACTCCCATAGGCTAAAAGAACCAAGTAGAAAAGTTCACCCTACCCAAGGGTAAAGTTTACCCCAGAGCACTGTGCCTGGGCACTTGTGGTGATACATTATTTGTGATTTATTAAAGCTTGCCTAAGGGTACAGAAAGCAAAGCTAGCCACAAGCCACAGAGCCAGATGGTGGTGGCACATACCCTTAATCACAGTTCTCTAGAGACAATCAGATGGATCTCTATTAGTTCAAGACCACACTGATCTACACGAAATTGATCCAGTCCTAAAAGGAAACAGCCTACACAAAGATGATCTCAGTACTTGGGATCACATGCCTTTAATCCCAGGATTTGAGAGATATAAAAAGAAGCAAAGTCAGTTTTAGGATTAGTCTCCAGTTTTAGGATTGTAGTCTGAGGAGAGCAGTGCAGTTTGGAGATGCAATCAGAGGACACAATCACCCCTTTGGTCTGAACATTGGTAGAGGTGAGAAATCTCTAGGGCTTGGCTACTTTGCCTTTCTGATCTTCAGCTTGTAGCTTGAACCCAATATCTGCCCCTGGGTTTTTATTATTCATGTTACAGGCACACATCTATGGATTTCCCTTTTCTAGCAAAGGAATATTTGAATGGGTGGGAATTGGGGACAACAACTTTTGTCTTTCTTAATGTGTCAATTAGAATGACAACCCTTTGTTACTGAGCCAGGGACTGCTTTGGAGAAGGGGTATTACACACGCATGTACGCATGCACGCATGCACGCACATGCGCACACGCGAGCACACTCACACACACACACACACACACACACACACACACACACACAGTAGAAAAGTCACCTGCTGAGTTAATGACTGACTAGAACAAGGAAGACAACCCTCCCAGTTCTCAGGGATCAGTGATACCCACAGGTGCCTGTGGAAGTCAGAATATGCCCCAGTGATTCCAACAAGAATTCGATGGGTGTGGAGGAAGAAACAACTTAACTTCATGATCTGACCCATGACCAGAAAACTAACTCCAACAAAGGATGCTGCTGCAAAGACACTGTATTAGATACACTCTGCACCAGTGACTGGGGGAAAAGGCCAGAGCCAGGAGAAGGGTGACAAGCCTGTGGCAGAAAGTCCAGGCCCTCAGTGACTCAAGCTTGCCTCAGTGACTCAAGCTTGCCTCTGCAGGAATGCTGGCTGCTGGTGATTTTCCTAACCTGTGATGCCCATGATAAAAAATTTTGCTTTGTCAAGAGATCTCCCTTCAGGGCCAGCTAGATGTCCTAGCAGGTAAAGGTCCTTGTGACCAAGTCTGATGACCTGATGACCTGAGTTCAGTCCTCAGAACTCACATGGTAGAAAGGGAGATCTGATTTCTGAAAGTTGTCTTCTGACCCCCACTTGGATACCATGGCATGAGTGCCCCAACCCCACCCAATACATGCATAATAAATGTGAGGACCTGAGTTTGAATCCCTAACTCCCATATAAAGATTTACTGTCTCAAACACCAAGATCTGGAGACACGTCAGTGGTCTAGTAGTTGCCTAGCATGTGCATGGCTCTGGGTACAGGCCATAACAACACAGACACACATCCAAACCAACATGACCACCAACAGCAATAGTAAGCTTCAGTTTCTGAGATGAGTACTACACCAAACCCACCTGATTGATTCCTTCATTTATTTCAAGATAGTCCCAACCCTAGCCAGCCTGGACCTT